TTTAATATTTATAATGTTTTGATATTAGATGTTTATCATAACATATTCATGGGTATTGAAATATATTTTTTTTATCATTCAATGAGCAATCTGTATTAAAGGTAGTGGTATGCTAATAATTATTATCACTTATCGGTGGTGATGTTGTGTAATAAAAACTATAAAAAAAAATCCTTAAAGAGCGGGTGGACAACTATTATAGTTATTAGTTGTAAAAAAATCGTACCTAGATAGTACTTTCATATTGGTTAATAATTATAATCTATAAATTTCAATAGGGTATCAAATATTCAAAAAAAACCCAATCCTTAAATCCTCAAACCCTTAAATTATGGTAATGTACCCATGTTATAATATAGATACCTACCTAGTTATTACCTATTATCGACGTTGGCGTTCTCGTAAAGTTGTAAAGTATGAAAGTATATTATTTAATGTTTATCAAGTTTTTAAAACAAGTGTGTGTGATAGAGGTTTCCTCGGAAAATATAAATTGTAAGACATCGGCGATGGATGAAAAGTGTTAACTTTATAGTTATACAACTAGTAGATGGTGTATACTTTATAAAAAACATAATGTATATATAATATTTGATCTGGATATCCGTGAAGAATTAGATAATTATTATTACAATACTACCGGTAGGCGCATACTTATGTTTAGGAATTTTTCAAGGAAAATTTTATGAGATTATTTTAATCAACCCTTAAATGCCTGTATAGTGTATCTGTATATAGGCTGTAATATTCTAAAATCAAGTTGATTGCCATCGGGTATTGGGTAGTTAATTATATTGTGAATATTAATCAATAATATTACTCATTCAATTTTAAGTAAAATAACAAAAAAAGTTAGATTAAAATATGGTCCACTCAATATTCACGTAATAATCATAAATTATAATATCATATTATTGTATATTTTAACATGAAGATTTGATGGAAGAAACAGCCCACTAAAAACTTTCTTAGAAAACTAATTTTTTTATGTGGTATTTATCTTTATAATACGAGTAGAATTGAAATGATGTCTGTTGGTAACTACATTACTTAAGAACGGCTGAACTGATTTGGCTCTTTTTTTAATGTTATAATCCGCGGAAGGGCAAGAGACAACAGAACAATTACACATTTTGTATTATTATTTTGTACATAGTTTGTTGTACTAATGTTATTTGTTTTTATATTTACATTCAGACATTCTCGTGAACATTATTTTAAAACTGTCTTTTTTTTTTAATACCAAATCTGTAAATAAATAAATAGGAATGTTTACTCTAGTGTAATATAAAACGTACGTACATATAATAATTGTTCAAAATATGAGATAAATAAAAACATATGATACGTATTAGTTTAGTTTTTCCATTAGTACTTACTACATTTAACAAGATGTTTTATATTTTTTTAATCGTTAACAAGAGTTTAAGATTCGATACATGCAGCGGCTACTAAAAACTAAATTGTTAACTCGTAGAACGGTAAAGAAACAACGAAAATTAAGAGTATTGAGTCTAGTGGTATTTATTTTAAAAGATATCCTTTGCAATAAATTCGGACTGACAATGTGGCCATTCAAAAGTCTATACGCAAAAATACATTAATAAAATTGCATTTGGATGTCAATGAATTAAACTTGACGTCGAAAATCGGATGACCTGCCAAATCAACTTTGTGCACTAAAATAACTTAATAAAATTATATTATTATTTATCTAAAACAATTGTGTTCTTCTATAGAAATATTACATAAATATCATAAATATCAATTATATGATGCAGTCCATTCTATTAATTTTGCAATTTAATCCAAAATTATGTAACTTACATAATGATGGTTCATAATCCAATACAATATATAGATGCCTAATTTCCTTTAAAATATTATATTGATTGCACATCGATTAGGTAACTGTTATTTCATGGAGCCAGAAAACAAAAAATATAAATGCACACTACATGTGCCGAGGGGAGCATTGATAGGTGCATTTATGTGACATTGACGTCTTAATGTCTTATGCATTTTTTTTAATCATTGCCCTCTTTACTGGATACTGAGGTAAAATATTATACACTACATTGGGTGCCAATTTCGAAATCACCAGCGAGATCTCTGAACAATCCTACTTCACAATGTTAGCTGTCCTAAAGAATAACTGTTCACACCAACAGATGGCGCTCTTGCTTTATGATTCAAATACATTATTGTACGTAAAATATTGGATAAACGTATAAACGTCTTACTACTGTCTACCGAGGTTCGTGAACATTTTTTAAATTTCAAATTGCTCATAACTCACTTTAAAATTAAAACATAACAAAAAAAAACCTACATCATTGACTAGATAATATTATTCTTATATTTTAAAAATTTGGTAATAAGTTCAATTTAGTCTAAAATTAAACATAACAGAGTTGAATGAATTATTCAGAATGTACTATTTGCTATGTTATGCATTTGTACGACGGAGACAACGCATGTTTGTATGGCGTTCTCTTAATAGTATAAAAATTGTTTTGGAGGAAATTAGAAATCGTGGAATTGAATATGGCTATGAGTAATTTGGGAAGGGGGCAAGCCTCGTAGCACCATAATTGCACTTATGAATCGGTCAATATCTCATTTGGTGAAAAAGAGCAACTCACACTTATGGTCGAAACATGATAGATACATCCATGTCCCATGATATTATAAGTCACGCCGCCATTATATTATATACCTACTTCGTTTAAGTGCCAAAAATATAATAATATTAATTATTTAAAAAAATATATAATAATGTTATGCTCAAATTTTTGTGTAGTTTATGGTAGGTATTTGAAAACTTATTCGATTTAGTATAATAAGTGTGATATATGAGTAATAATGTGAATATTACTATTAGCTGTTAATTGTTTATTTTAAATAGCTATAGTTATCGTAATTAAAATTATGTTTTAAATATTTATGGGATTACGCATGTAAGTCAACAATGTTATAACACTTTATAAACAGTCGTTATTATATTTTGGAATGTAACCGATTCAATAATATCGAATCATAATCATAAAGATAATAATGAAAATTAATAAATAAATGTATAACATTTTATATTATCATTTTCATTTCACCGTATATTTTAATACAATATTATATTGAACATGTCGCACGTACCTACGTTGTAAATTGATTATCAAACATTGATAAATTAGAATTTTAAGTATTTTGTTATTCCTATGCACGATTACTATATATATATGACTACAATAATAAACAGTGAAACTTCCTTATAACGCACTCCCATTGAATGAAACATTGTTAAGAGCCATAACCAAATTAGAACCAGATACATATAAGACGTGATTCTGGTCATTGGGATTTATCAACAATAAGAATTTTTAATAGTTGTCCAAGAGAGTTCGTAATATTGATAATATTCAATGTATAAGGTTTAATAAAATTATTGCGTCCTTAGAGTATAGTTTTGTACTTTTATAATCAAAAATAAACTAATAAGTAACAAATAATTGTTTAATAAGTTATACAACAAAATGTTCAATTAACTACAATCAAATAAATTAATAAACAAACGTATTGTAATACTGAAATTAATTTGCTAAACACTAAACCTACATTAATTCACTGGTGTGCAGATTTTCATTTTTTAATAATTAATAACTATGTCTAGGTACATTGTTCGTCAATATTTTAGAAAAAATATAAAAGGAATAATTTAAACTGAATTTATGCTTGGTGTTGATTGACGCAGAAACCAAATATTATATTTTAGGAATAAGGCAAAAACGACGATCTCTGGTCAGTATTGATTTTAATTTTAGGATTACCGATATCGGGAGCTAGTAAAATAGGCATTGTACCTACGTTATTCTTGCTATTTGAATACAATTAATAAATGTGTAAATAACGTTTATTAAAAAATAATATAATATTACTAAAATATGATACTGATGTTATGAATCAAAGTTGATGTTGTTGGGTTAGATAATACCGCAGTTTTATGATATTTTAATTATATTTTACAAACTGTTATTCAATAATGTCATGTTAATTAAATGTTGCCCAAAACAATTTAATATTTTATAGAGTAACTGATAGTGAAATGTGTTAATTTTGTGATTTCTTGATTATTACTTATAAGATACGTTTAGATTATATATTATTTAATAGGTATTAAAACGGTAAGTAAGCTTTACTCTTTGGTTTTTTTGTTGGAAGGGGTTGCTGAATCGTCCAAACTAGACCCCTGTTTTCTCTTATTATGTAAATTAGTGAACTTTATGAGAGCGTATATAATAACAACTACTGTTAGCTAAAATACATTTTCGTCATTTTATTTTACCGTGACGTTCTTAACATATTACATTTGTTATAACAATTCCTTCTACTATTATTATAATATTGTACATATTACTCTATTATTAGGTATTATTATTATTATTGTTATTATATCGTCAGTAACCATGGGCATTGGATCAAGGTCATTTATCTAACCCACTTGTAATGACGTCATCTCCGTACGAGGTTTGCGATCGCGAACCCACTCACACAGTCACATGCGCCATAACACACACATACCACCCTTATCCTCGCGATCGCGGCAATAAAAAACCGTTGTCTGTGTAACACAACATTACAACGTGCGTACAAAATATATGGTACGTTCCCATTACAATATATACGTATATACATGATAATAGTAATATATTATACAGTACACATTATTATTATTATTATTATTATTATTATTATTATTATAGCGGAGCACCCTCTCGATCACCGCCGCGGCACCGCCACCCCATTTCCATTCAATATGCGATCGTTTGCTCACGTGTGTGCGTGTGTGAGTGTGTGCAGACGAGTGTCCGTGCCTCAGTGTGTGTAAGCGTGTGAGTGCGCGTGTGCGTAATACGAATAATATCGTACTATACTCCATCCCCACCCGCGTTTTCGGCGCGTGAGTGCGTGAGCTCCGGCCCGGACGGTCGCGCCAGATTATCGATTTGCGGGTTCAGTGACAACGCGGACGCATACGCACCAGGAGCCCAACGTTGGCGGGCGCACTTCTAGTTCGAAAACTTCGATAAGTGTAAGGACATCAATAATAGTAGTATTGTTATTTTGTCGTTGCGCCGTTCACATTACACCGCCGCCGGAGTGGATTTTTCTCAAGTACGACCGTAGCTTTGATCCGTAGAAAAAATACGCAGACGTTTCACGAAATCACTGCTCTGCAGTGCGCCAAACCCATCGACACCCATATAGCTATTATGCGCGTTAGTACCCACTACTTTATCTTGTGTCGCGATAAAACCGCCGCAGTATTGTGTGAATAACGCTATGTATGGGTGCTATAATGTTCTATGGTATCGTTTCGTGTCGTTTTCATTGTTTCACGTTCGACTTACGACGAGTCGTATCGGTTGAAAACCGCAACGATTCTCATGTGTATTTCACATCCGCGGTTATTTAAGTCAACATTTGAAATATTATTTTCTACAGTCGCCTAAGTTCAATATATCTTTAATAATACAGTTAATCATACAGTTCCCAACAAAGTTGTTTTCGATTCAAGATAAAAAATCCTTAATATTTCCGAATTACCTACATTCGATAATTCCACTGAAAATATTTGCAAATATTAATAGAATAAGCACACAAAAAGTTGGTATTGAACTGCTAAACTATGAGTTACGTTTTTTTTTTTTTTAGAATGTTCGGTAATATAAGGCGGGACAACATGATGTTACTACATTCAATCATATTTAGTCAAACGTTTGATTAGCTTTCTAAACGAAGTTTTGATCTGTCTTCTACATGATGTAAGATAATCCAAAACAGTGGGATCATGTCAGGTTAGTTTTACTATTTACAGTATTATTATATATTAGATACATTTGTTTCAACGACATTTATCTTAATTGTAATTACTGATTTGTAACAACTTGGTTGCATCCACTTAACCGTCGTCAAATCGATAAAAATGTATAGCACTTCGTTATATACATAAATAATTTATAGATAATTTACATGTCATATTGTAATATACATATATATACGAGTATATATCATATTATAAAAATGATATTTTTGTATTGTTTCAGAGTACATAGGGTTCGGTAGTTTACCGGACATAGTACATCGAAAAACCGTCAAAAAGGGATTTGAATTCACTCTGATGGTGGTCGGTGAATCCGGTTTGGGAAAATCAACACTGATAAATACATTATTCCTAAGCGATTTGTATAAGGAACGAAATGAATCTAGTTATGGTATGTCAATATTGAAAATATGTACACTTAGACATATGCCTAACTCATGTCTTAACAATTTCAGAACCTCCTCAGACCGCACATATTGAAAAGAAAACGTTATGCATCGAGGAACAAGGAGTAAAGTTAAGACTAACCGTTGTAGACACACCTGGTAACTGTCTTATTTCGAATTTCGAGAGGGAAAAACAACAGCTGTATTTTTATTTTCAGGTTTTGGTTCGTCTTTGAGCAGTGATGATTGCATTCGGTCATGCTGCGAGTACGTGGACGAACAATTTCGAGCATATTTCGCCGAAGAAAGCGGCATTATCAGAAAGAACATAGTCGACAATCGTGTACACTGTTGTCTTTATTTTATACCTGGTCATTGTCACAGGTATGTTTGATGTGAAATTGTTTTTTTAAACACATAATATGTGATACAATATATAAAAATATTATATCGTTATTATATCTAACCTTAAACACAATTTATATTTAAGCCTAAGGCCAATAGACGTAGAATTCATGCTCAATATCCACGAAAAAGTCAATGTCATACCAATCATAAGCAAAGCAGATATGTTGACTGAAAAAGAAAAAATACAAATCAAACAACGAATAAATGATTCTATTAAGTCCCACGAAATAAAGGTAAATTAATCATTAATTTAATTAAAAACGATTGTTCGTCAATAATATTAATTAGTACCTATAATTACCGTCAGCGTAAACATTGTGTAGACAAAAATACATTTTACCTTCCCTCTTTTTTTTTATTTTATCATAATAATACAATATATTAGTATATAATTAATATTTATCAACTTAGGGATAAAAAAATATATTTAATTTACAATAATCATTCTCAAGTTTAAAAATAATAACGTACATTCAGTGGAAATTTATATCACGATTCAAATCCAATGTACCACATTCAGATCTAGCACATGAATTCGTATTCGTCAAAACTGTTCGGCAACGATTATGTATTATACATATTAAATAATCGTTCGCCTATGACAAACCTTATACATAAATTACTATAATGTCGATAGCTGCAGATACGACTAAATCGAACGAATAAATAATAATGATTCAATACTCAATTTAAATATTCGTCGTTGTCATTATTATATCATTGAAATTAAATAGAAAGTTATATAGATCATATATTATGTGATTCAGATTTACCAACTACCAGATTGCGATAGTGACGAAGATGAAGACTTCAAACAGCAGGACAAAGAGTTGAAAGCATGCTTACCGTTTGCCGTGGTCGGAAGTAACACGATTTTGGAAGTTAACGGGAAAAAAATGCGAGGAAGACAATATGACTGGGGTGTGGTAGAAGGTAAAAACAATTTGAATACTTAATAAACTGTTTATTTGCTGATCTTAGTATACATTGTTTTTTAGAATAGTAAACAGAGAGAAAGTGGATAAATGTATTTAACGACACACGTGCTTGTGTAAATTATTAATGTTCACTAAACATAATGTGTGTTCATCTATTATATTTTCAGTGGATAACCCAGCCCATAGTGATTTCACCAAACTTCGGAATATGCTAATATCCACACACATGCCCGATTTAAAAGAAGTCACAGAGGATGTTCATTATGAAAATTTCCGCACACAATTGATTTCGAAAATATCGCAGCAAGCATTTAAAGATAGAGGGTAAATATTATTAAAAAAACATAGTATAGTTACCTAAAATATTATTGATGATAGAACTAACAAGTAACCTATTACCGATTTTGTGTAGAAAATTAAAAAGAGACTCGATACCAAAACTGCTACCAGCACTTGATGAAACGGATATTTTGTTGCTTCAAAAAGAAGAAGAAGTAAGTTGAATTCCTATTCAAATATTTAACCGATGTGATGTGAATAATTTAAATTCATATAAATTAGTAGAGGGACGACTCCAGATACATGGTTGGGGGGAGGGGGGGTCTAATTCATAATTGTTCAGAAAACTTTCAGTATTATAATATGGTTTTTTGTAATTTGGTTTTTAATAATATACAATTATTTAGAAATATGGGCTTGGAAGGGAGCCATGGCCTCTACGCCCCCGTCCCTCCTGGAACCACTCCGTAACCCTAGTTTAGTACTAACTACTAGGTACCTACTATGTTTAACAACTAACAATGTACACTATTATTGCATATAGTTAGGATATTAATAGTCAAACACAAAGGGAACAATGGTCATAAATCGTAATTATTAACTATAATATACCTACATTACACATAATGGTATTGTAAGCGTAGTACTATTGAAAACAGTGATACTAAACAATTTGAAGACATTTTATTTCAAATTAAAACTAAAAAAATGTTTGAATAGATTTTTTTATGATAATGCGGTTGTTTGTTATTTCTTGGAATTTATAGAACATACCTAGCCGATATATTTTAAAATGAATCATATACATCGATATCAGGTAGGTATGTCTCAGATCTAGTACATAATATTTTATAGAGTGTCTGTATTTTCTGACTTATAAATAAGGCATATATATGTATATATATGGCTGTTTGGACAATACTCATATGTCCCATCGGCCACCAAGCAGAAAAAAATATTACAATTTATATTTTGTATTCCACCTATGACAACATCTGCACATTGTATTTATTCTATTTGATAATAATGTGCTCTAGTGTAAACGCATATTAATTCATTACAGCCGTCAGCCAATGGTCATATAGTCGCCTGAAATTTATTTAAAAAAAAAAAAAAAATAATGTGCTCATTAAATATTTAAAATATTTTCAATGCAATTATACTGATGATTATTTAATATGATTTGACTCATTATTAAACATGGTTTTATTATTCGAAATTTAGATCCGCCGCATGCAAGACATCCTCGTCCAGATGCAAGATAAAATAAAGACCAATAACGAAAAAAGCAATCATAACCTATACCTAGCAGCTCAAAAATCACTGGAAAATGAAAACAAAAAAATTGAAAACGTGATCAACGTTTAACAAAAAAGAATAAAATACTATAGTATAATATTAAATATTATTTAAAATTGTACAGTAATGTCTTATAAGGACATGTTGTATTAATTTGGTGTTCAACTTGGAAAAGTATTTCTACTAATATTTTACATTTTTTTATATCGTAATATTATTTTACTTACTGACTTTGAATTCGTTGTCGTTTTATACATAGTCGTATAAAGAATTCACTATTATTACTGTATTATAACATTTTATTATTTTCGTTTGAATCTTACCACTGTAAATTATTTTAGACATGGTAAGAAATTAACATAGGGACTAAAACAGTAGGTAGTTCGTGGTTTAACTTTTAAGATTGTTTAGAAATGTATATATTATCATCAAAAAATAAACTCTTGATCGGTTACGATTGGATTATTGTTGATTTCAATGTTTACATGACGTAAACATCAGTCGTTTAATGTATAAACAAAAGAAAGTAGTAAATTATACGAACTCTAATCAAATCCTTAGACATCTACAATGTATAGTATTTTATAAACATGTCATTTTTTAACTTATAACAAAATTGAATATTCAGACATTATTTATTAATTTATTATAAAATCAAACAAGATCGATTTAAATTAAACTCTATAAAGTATAAATGTGTTGGATATTGTTTACAAAAAAAAATGTATGTTTTATACGAAAACCCGTGACGTCGACCCACATTATAATATTATTACTTGATCTAATTGTACAGCGCTTGTGTATATTGTATAATAACATTTGTTATACGTACATATATATACCTATTTCATACAATTTGACGTAATTTCGTAGTCTGAGCGGAACATGACTCAACTAATATGTTATAGCTGTACCTAAACATATTAATATGATATTATTTCGTAAAAAAAAACCAAGCAGACTATTTTGTCGTTTATTTTCTCTGGACAAACTATATATATAGATACAATACTACAAATACACCCAATATATGTATACATTGCATTGTATATATTATTTATATATTATGTCAATATATTATATACTTAAACAGAGATGATATACATATTCCAATACACAGGATTCACGATGAACGAGACGAACGTGCAAACACAGATGTACTTGTAAATTTGTATTAATATATTTATATTTGTATAGATATATCTTATACAGTATAGATATTATAGGTATATAATATAAATGTAGCGTCCTTTAAGCTGTCACAATACCATACGTTATTATTATAAATACGTCTGACACACTATGACTATATGAACAACTAATTTCAATAATTAATACGAGTGATGAAAAATTTTAATGGTTGACAATAATTCATTATCGTGAAGTGGAAAATAAACAGTGTATACACATGATCATGTGTCAAATTACATTAATATAACATAATAAACGACTGATATAGTTTAACATTAAGTATATACAGTATGTACCGTTATACATATTATGGCAATCGAGCGGTAACGATTCGAAAATATTTAAAAACCATTTTATTCTCTGTAGTTTATGAAGATATATTAAAATATTATATCATATGGTAGCGGTCGGCGATGACTATTTTGAATTTATTATGGTAGTTATATAAAATTGCAAACAAAATAGCATTAAATAGTGAAAATTCGGAATTACGTGAGGGTAGTTATGGGTCAATCTAAACTATAATATTATATAAATCTCAACTTGCAATCGGATAAATTCGCAAAAATCGCATAGAACGCAAATATACTGACGCTGAGATGAAGTGCAGTGATCGATTTGTTTTTTTCGTGTATAGTTCAAAGGATATCCTGCGTTTCTATAGTAAGTATACTTACTCCTTAAATTCGTAGTTGTGTCGTAATAGTTATTTTTTGCTCTTTATTGTGGAGGTACTCGTTCGTTACGTAACACGCAGAAATTAGGGTTTTACTCATAATATAAGTTTAAAATAAATTTAATATTTAAGTCATTAGAAAAAAAATTAGAGGGAAAATATAAAAAATGAACGTGTGTTATATAGTAATTTCAGCCGACAAATAACGATATTATGTAACGGTAATACGATCGTTCCTGTAAGCGCGGGTCGATTATATACATCGTTCGGCAACCCTAAATTCGTAATGGTGCTCACGTGAAATGTTAAAATATCTATAGATAAAACTCTAACATCAATATAAATTATAGACGCATGAAACTAATCGTTAGTATTTAATTATATTGTTAATTTATAATTGTTCCATTCCATGTTTCAGTGTCTAATGTATATGTAATTTGCTAAACCACGCGCAATTTTTTTCAAACACGTGAAACAAAAAAAAAAGAATTGATTTAATGTTGCAGTAAATAGCAATATCAATATAAATTAGTGGTAGCAGTAGATTATCAAAATATATGATTATATTTCAACAAAAATAATAAGTAAGGTACCAACTAGTCACTACCCATATATCATACAAAAATGTACATTTTTTGTAAATGGTTGTACAGTGGCTACATATGGATATTGTGTTTGTTTACTTAACCAAAAATAACGTTAGGTATATAGTTAAATTTTTAAAAAAATAACTGAATTCAAACATGCATATTAAAGGTGAGTATGAAATTTAACAATCTGTTATCTCTGCCTATATAATAGTATACAGACACGATAGAGTAGTGAACACCACACAGCCAACACCAGTATTTTGTCGGCGTTCAATAAATGGTAAACAATAAGACGATTCGTCATCAACAACATGAGAATGATAAAAATCGTACCACGTGAGTTCACTGCTCATACTCGTATTGTCCTCCTCGTAAACTTTTAAATTTAACATGTATACAGAGTACAGACCACCCATTCCGCCTTCTTTTTTTATCGCTGTTGTAACAAACATCGCTTTTGCCTTTATAGACATACAATATGATATGACGTTCAAAGCCGTCATTTCCGAATTCTTTTATCGAAATACATAGAACATACGACAACTAGTTACAAATGGTATTATTGAGTTATAAAAACAATTATTTACTATATGTCTTATGTACGATTGTTTGAGCACAGAAATTATTATCATAAAGTTGACAACAATTTTAAATTGAATTTTTTATATATTTTTTTATTATTATAAAATAATAAAATAAAATATGTATTATCGTTGATTTTCTTATCTTAAAATTGTATTTGCAGTCGTGTACGGTGACGGTTTACCTATGTGTATATTATTTGTTGTCTTAGGAAAATATTGTGCAAAATATCTATAGTTACATAAGTTATTACTCTCATTAGTTTTTTCCATGTTGACAACCACAATGTTATGATCCACATATTGTTATATTGAATAATAGTGATAGTACCACAATAATGTTTATTATCTAGAAATGATTCCATTATTGTTCAATTGCTTGGAAATTTGATGAGTGAAAACTGAAACATGATTTTTAAATTATTATAGGTATTTGTAAACAGGGACAAATTAATTTTTATTAATAAAATGACGATTCTCATGCATTATACCTTCTGAAAAATATTTGTTTTTTTTAAATTGTTAGTTTTTGACAATATTATTCAAGTTAAGAAAATTACTATCAATTATGCAATCGATTGTTTTATTTCAAAATAATAGTAATAACTAATAATTATCTAATCTAATCTAATTATCTTAATTTAGACTTTGCTATTTATAAATATATATATTTATAACCATGTTTTCATGCAATTCTCACAGATTAAATTAGGACCGTAGTGTATTATAATTTATAAGCATATAGACCTTAGAATAAGTCTATGATTATAAGTACACATATTATTGATGTAATGGCATACACAATCCTCACGGAAATTACCCTTTTCCGCGGAAATTTAAAATGCCTGTTTCCGCCATTGCGTAAGTACGTAACTATCATCATCACAAATTCACAAGTTCCAAAAATAATGCTACTGAGATCAGAAACTGGTGCCTTGTTTTTCAGTTCCAGTTCTGGTTTCGGTACTCAATTATTTCTAAACAGTTTCTGGTTCTGATTCCTGTTAAAATCGTCAGTGAATGGTTCAAAATTCGTTTCTTTAAATTTGTACTTTAGTACCTATCTAATGAAATCTAGACATAATAATTTAAATAATAATTTATAATATATTAATATATAATATGTTTATTAAAATAATATGTACACATGGGTAAAAATATATATTAAAGTTTAAAGATTTCCCAAGAAATAAATGAATCTATTAAAAAAATAATATTAAAGCATTCTTATAAGTGAAAAAAAAAAAAAAAAAATAATATTCCAAATCAGCCTGAAACAGTAGTGCTCTTGTACTCTAGATCCAACTGCCTCCCCTTGTAGGGGAATATAATAATATATTGTTGTTTAAAATGTGACATAAGACTATAGGTACTGAACACTTTGTTTACGATTATATTATAAGATCCATATAATTGTATACAATATTATGTTTAATGTTTTTTTTTTGTACATAATATATAAATATTGTGTTGTGAAAGCTTATTATAAAACGTCAAGCTTGTGCAATGCTATTTTTTGACCTATTTTACTATTCAAATCAGTATTGCAATTTTTAAATATAAAATATTAAAATGCATAATTGGTGTGCGGTGTGTAAGTAATTAATATTACATTGGTTTTTGAATTTCCCGCCACGTTGCTTGATCGCCGGCTAAATGAAACCATTGACTGCATTGGTACAAATGTACAATAGACCTACAAAAGAATTCTTTTATAGGTCTATGGTTGGTACCTCTGCGCTCCGTGGAAGATACGGGAGTGGCGGCATGTGGCGGGCCGGTCTTCCGATCCGATTGGCGGGTGCGGGGAGAGCGCGGATGGTGGCGTGCGTCACCGGTTTTGGTAACCACTGATTGCGATTTGCGGTATTCGACTTGTTATGCGCGACGAACGGTCACGCCACGTTTTTTCGTCAATTCGTCTGTTGATTTCAGCGAATTTCTCTTTCAGGTTCTAAGCGCCTGTGTCATTCGACGTGCCGAAACCATGTCTAGATACAGCCAGAGACCCGAGAACGCGTTAAAACGCGCAAATGGTAAGTAAACGACAAGTGCACCAGTGGCGACGGCGGCGGCGGCCGACGAGTTGATAGCCGCTCTGCTTGAAACCGCCCCGGTGACTAATGTACTGCTTTTGCATTATTTTTCAGAATTCCTGGAGGTCGGACGGCCCGGCCGGGCCCTCGACACCCTTTACGAGGTGTTCAGAAACAAAAAATGGGCTTACAACTGGAGCGAAAGCGTCCTGGAACCGATCATGTTCAAGTATCTGGAGCTGTGCGTCGACCTCAAGAAGTCGCATATCGCCAAAGAGGGATTGTTCCAGTACAGGAACATGTTCCAGTCTGTAAGTAACAATATTACTATGACTAGATAGATACCCAACTATATTGGTGGCATCGGTTCTTTGTTTAGGTCAATGTCGGGTCATTGGAGAATGTCATACGGGGCTACTTAAGAAGCGCTGAAGAGCGGACAGAAGCAGCCAGAGAACAGTCACAACAGGCTGTAGTTGATATTGATGACTTAGATAACTTGGCTACGCCAGAAAGTATACTTCTAAGGTAGCTTTCATTTTTGTATTTTCAATTTCATTTATATGTACTCAAATGTATATTATGTTAAATTGTATTTAATTAATTTTTGTTTATTATTTAGTGCTGTTAGTGGAGAAGATGCTCAAGACCGTAGTGACAGAACAATATTGACCCCGTGGGTTAAATTTTTATGGGAGTCGTACTGTCAATGTTTGGAACTTTTGAGAACTAATGCCCATGTGGAAACTTTATATCATGATATAGCAAAAATGGTATAAAATATTATTTACCCACATCATAGTATTTCTTTATTATCTAAATTTTTTGTTATAGGCTTATCAATTTTGTTTAAAATACAACCGTAAAACAGAGTTCAGAAAGCTATGTGATAAACTACGGAAACATCTTGAAGATATTGCTAAGTTGCCTCCACAAACTGTTAATGTTAGCCTTTCAAACCCAGAAACACAACAATATAACTTGGAAACACGTTTGTGTCAATTAGATTATGCTATTCAGATGGAATTATGGCAGGTAAGTTGTTTTTAAATTGTAATTGTTCAGTACTTATTAATAAATTTGCAATTTATCAATCATAGGAAGCATACAAAGCAACTGAAGATATCCATAATTTAATGTCATTGGCTAAGAAGTCTCCTGTTCCGAAAACTATGGCCAATTATTATCAAAAATTAGCTATGGTTTTCTGGAAAGCTGGTTATAATTTATTCCATGCTGCAGCCCTATTAAAACTTTTCCAACTCAGCAAAGAAATGAAAAAAAATATTACTGCTGAAGAACTTCAAAAGAAAGTGTTCCCACTTTTAATTAACTGAATGCATATTACAATTTAATTTTCGTCCATAAAAATATTTTTAATTATTTGCAATTTTGTCTTACTATTTTTTGCAAATTTTAACGGCATACTTTCTTTTCTTTAGTTTTGAATGCATATTATCAATAGTTGAACTATTTGGCAAACTAGTTAATTTAGTTAATTTTTTTAAAACTTCACTAATTTATACTCTAGTTAGTTTAGTTGGTAACTTAATTAGTTACTAAGACAATTGTAATAACCTAGATTTTTCAGTCAATTTAAAAAATAATATGTTAATATCATGCTAATACTAATTTATAAATTAATAATTGTTTTTATTTCTCGGCATAATAAATGACTTAAAATAAAAATTCCTATATTTAGTTGGTTAAGATTAAGTTAACACAAATATTGAATATCTTAAACCTCTATGGATAGTATGCAATTATTACAAATTATGATGATGCGCTTTTAACAAAATATTTAATTATTATTTAAAAAATTCAAAAGTTGCACCATCCCTGTTGCCTGGGTGGCTAAGTGATATTTAAAAAAAAAATTAACTTAATATTAAACACATTTTTTCTCCATATTAACTTTTTGAGTATGTTGTAGTAGTTTAATATGCTAACTAGTAACTATCCTCAATATGTTATCTACATAAGACAATTTGTTGGTTCATGTACTACCTACACTTTGTTATTAATAAAAATGTTCATCTTATTTAATCATTGACAAGCAATTTAAGTTACAACACACTTACCAATAATGTTCTTACAGTATGTATATCGGCTCTTATATCTTGAAAACAGCTTAAAATTAATTATTTGGGTTTACCTGATAATAATCCTCCCTTGACTTATTGCTTATCTTTACGTTTTGCCAGGGATGCAGGGCCCTTAATTAACAAGCGATAAGGGGCCATAAATAAGGGAGAGAACTTCCTAGCATTTATTATTCTCAACTGTAATTTCCAAATTTATTAACAGAATACTATAAATTGATATTTCTTGGTAGTATATTAGTACCTATATTGTCGTAATATTGGCATTATAAATTATGATTTATGGTAGATTCATCATTATTATATTTTAAACATATAAATTCACTACGATTCACAGTATAAATGGTTGCACAATAAGGATATTATTTTTGACCATGCAATGCTATGCAAAGTTTTCATCTTAATTATGAGGTTAACAATGTTTTTACATTTATACATTTTTAGGCCAGTGCTGGCATTCAAAAATAATTATACTGATTGATTTTATCGAATTATTATAATTTGAGTTTATTATTGTACTATAGTTTTTTTTTAACAAATAAAAATGCTAAAATTGGTGGATTAAACATTGTTTTATTTTGTCAAAAAAGTCGATAATACATTAGGTTCATTAATTTACAAATATATAATAAAAGTTAGTGTACACTTGATCATTAAGCAATCAAGTATGACATTTAAATGTTTTGGCTGCTATTTAAGTAATAACATTAAGTATTAATAAGATTTATTTTTATTTTTATCTAGAATGGCTTCTCGTGTTTTGTTGGCCACTTTAGCTGTACCATTACCATCTGCTCATCCTGAATTTGATCGCTTCATTGAAACTGATAAAAGTCCTTATGAAAAAGCACAAAAACTTGCAGTTCTTTTAAGTCTCCCTGCCCCGCCTACAAGAATTTCTCTTATGAAAGAAGTTGTAAGAATTATTAAATTTAGCATATTTAGTTGTGTTTAATTTTGAGGAAATACATTTTTTTAATCTTTTATTATATTATAGGTTCGCCATAATGTAGTATCTTTAGCATCTGAGGATTTACGTAATCTTTACATGTGGTTAGAAGTAGAGTTTCAACCTTTGGAACTATGCAAACGTGTTGAAACTGTAACTGAGCCACTTATTGGTAGTGGTAGTGAATTGGAAGGATATGTTGCTCCTGTACGTGAAGTAACTTTGGCACGGTTAATTCGACAACTCTCTCAAATTTATGAAACACTTGAATATAAAAGGCTCTTAGAATTAGCTTCTTACTGCAAGCCTTTCCATATGGAACGTGTGCTAGTTGATTTGGTCCGCCATAACGATATGCAGGTAAATAATAATTAATTCAATATGAATATTAGATATACCAATTTTAGTTAGTTAAATGTAACATGTTATCAATATTTTGAAGTTGTCCTGTTTATGTCTGTTTCTAATATCTATGTTAGTAAATGTAAAAATTAAATGATGGCTATTTTTAATATTTACTAGCTTATATGTGATAATTTGAGTACATATTTGACAACCATAAACATTTGTAATCTGACTCATTAGGGACAATTACCTAATGCAAGGATTTTGTAACAAAGTAAATCGTTATAAAAGTATAATAATCAATTAAAAACTATAAAAATATAGGGTAAATAAAAAATGAAAATTTACAATATTTTACAAAATATATCATTTTGTGTCAGTCATTAACACAAACGAGTTTTTTTAAATTTCAAATTTTGTAGAATACTATTCACATTTATTGATTGATGTTTACTAATTGCACTAAGTGTACGAAAATACTCTTTAATTACATACCAAAATTTAATATGACCTATTTTGTTTCCTTTTTCAAAAGTCATTAAAAAAAAAACTAACTGTGGTAATCTATTTACACAAACAATAAATATTTGCTATATTTTAAATCTCAGATTCGTATTGATCATGGAAAAGGATGTATTCAGTTTGGAATGGACTTGTCTGAATCACAACGGGAAGACAAGCCAGAAGGACCAACTCTACAAACAATGCCTAGTGAACAAATCCGTACTTATCTAATTAATACTTTCAAAGTATTATCTAAATCTGCTAGTATTATCAATCCAGAAGCTAATAAGGTAAATAAAAAGTATTATAATTATTACCTTTTGAAAATAATTCTCAAATATTTTATTCTTAAGTCAATAATTTAATATTTAAAAACTTGAATGTATTTAAACAATATTATACATTTAAATTTTAATTAATGTAAATTGGATGTAACGACAAATTGTTCCTGATGAATTTAATATTACTGTTGTGGATACCTGAAATCATATGATTTCAATTTGGTAGGTAATTCTGAATTAACTGATAAATGTTTGTCTAAATGATGAATATAAATCTTTGCGGATATCGGAATGATTTCATTGATTATACATTTTTTCTGATGACAATAATTATTGGCCACAAATACAAATTTTTAAAAAATAATGTAGGTGGTTTAAATTAATTAAATATTATGATGAATTTAATATTACTGTTGCGGATACATGAAATCTTATGATTTTAATATGGTAATTCTGAATTAAGATATACTTTTTTGTCTAAATGATGAATAATAAATCTTTGCGGATATCGGAATGATTTCATTGATTATACATTTTTTCTGATGACAATTATTGGGCACAAATACAAATTTTATAAATAATTTAGGTGGTTTAAATTAATTAAATATTACTGTTGTGGATACATGAAACCATATGATTTTAATTTGGTAATTCTGAATTAACATATACTTTTTTGTCTAAATGATGAATAATAAATTTTCGCGGAGATCGAAATGGTTTTATTGATTATACATTTATCCTTATACTATTTATTGTAAAAATAAATGTTTAAAGAGCAGAACTGTTAATAAAAGCATTTTATTTAATCGTTAAATGTATTTTTAGGATGAATGCAAACAAATTCACCAATCTCTTATCAGACATCATCATGAAACCAAAGATAAAGAACATCAAAGAATTTTGGCCCGCCACAAAATAATTGAAGATCGTAAAGAATACTTAGAAAGATTGAATACCGTTCGAGTAAGTTGACATTTTCAAATAATTTTTACATGCAATTTAAGCTTAGTAGTGTTTGTAAAATGTATCTACTAAATTATAATTTGTCCCATTCATTGTTTAGTTGTATTAATGAACTATATCTTTTATTTTTAGGAAGAAGAAGAAGCTCGCCGAGCAGAAGAAATTGCTAAGGCTGCTGCTGCAGCTGAAGCAAGACGATTAGATGCTGAACGCGAAGAAAGAGAAAAAAGACGCCAGGAATCCGAGCTACAAGCTATCAAAGATAGAAATTTCAAAGAAAAAATGCAACAAATTTCTCAAACAGCTCATGGTCAAAAAGTTTTAAAAAAACTGAATGAAGATGTAAGTTTATTCAATTATGTTATAACATTATTTTTCATAAGTTTTATTTGAGATTTATGTAATATTAATTGACAAATCATTAGTGTTACACCATCAAACTTTTAAGAATTTTGTGAGTTATTATTGTATTTCATTATACTGAATGACTGATTATTTTATAGATCTTTGGTTTTACCGTTCTTATACTTTTCAGTTTAAATTTGAATTTTGCAATTACATGTTGTTAATGTTGGTAGATATTATATTATTTGACAAAACTATATTTGTATAAGATGCTGAGTCATTTTAAAATTTTTACTGATATTTAAAACAAATTTTGATTAGGCTTTGAAAAATATGGACGCTGATGAAATTGCTGCTAAGGAAGCTGAAGAATTGGCAAAAGAACGAGCAGAATTGGTACAAAAACTAAAAAATCGCAGAAAACAAATGGATTATTTTGAAAGAGCAAAAAGAATAGAAGAAATCCCCTTATTAGAACAGGCATGGAAAGAAAAACAAATTCACGATAAAAAGTTTTGGGAACATCAAGAAGCTGAACGTATTCAGTTAGCAAATCAGGAGCGAAAATTAGCAGAACAAAACCGTGAAAGGTTGGCTAGAATGAAACCAGACATGGATATATTCTTAGGAGAAATGAAAGAGCGTCGCACAGCTGAGTTCCAAGTATGAATTATTGTATATTATAGTTATTATCTTGTACTTATATGCATTTATATTGTTTAGGCCAAATTGGTGGTGTTTGAAGAAGAATTGATTAATATTCGTAAGGAAAGGTTGGCAATCAGGAAAGAAGAAAGGAAAATAGCATTGATCAAACAACGTGAAGAGGAAAAGAGACGTAAAGAAGAAGAAGAATGGTTACGTAAAGAAGAAGAAAGAAAGAAAAAAGAAGAAGAAGAAAGAAAGAAAAAAGAAGAAGAAGAGCGTTTGGCTAATTTGTAAGTCTAAACCATCTTTGTAGAGATTACAAAAAAATTGATAATGATGTTAACGTAAATGTATATTTTACACTTAAGTTCAAAACTTAGTTAAAAAATTATTAGTTCACATGTGCCTATGTTTTTTTCCCATTAGGGCTCGTCAAGAACAACTTGAAAGACAAGCTGAAATCCAACGGAAAAAGGAAGAAGAAGTACAGAGAAAATTGGAAGAGAAGAATAAGAGCCTTTCATCAACAACTTCAGCGTCGTCTTCCTGGAGAAATTTGGACAAGGCCAAAGAAGATCCTAAAATGTTCAGCTCTTCTCGAGACAATAAAGATAGAAGAGAAGGAGGATTTGGGCGTACTAGGGATGAGGGTCCACCCCCTGAACGTCGGTCATTGTTTAGTAATAATAGAGGCACCGATGAACGCAAAACAGGAGTATTTTCAAGAGATAATGACCGTGGTGGTTGGAATCGTGGCGGAGGTGCTAGTAGTACTGGTGGTGCCTTTGATAAAAATTTTAAAGATACCCCAAGAGACGGAGTCCGTTCAGCTTTTGACAGAGATACACCAAGAAAGCGAGATATACCTTCGTCCAATGACCAAGTAAATTAATATATCTGAATTTAGTATACTCATAGTTTGTACTAATATTCTATATTTGTGAAAATAATTTTAAATGTATTATCATTTACAGGGTGGAGGAAGTTCATGGCGTACCAGTCGCGCTCAAGACTCTGAGGATAAACGAAAGGCCAAGTGATTTTAAAATGACTGTTTATAAAATTATTCGTCTTCATTTTTTTTTCTAAATCTGATATATTCATATTTATGATTATTTTCTTATTATTTAAATGTAGAACTTTTGAGCTATCAACATGTTTTTTTTTTTATCTTAAAATTTGCAAATAATTATATATATATTACATAAATCAATGATGAATACATTCATGTATGACATTAATATATAGCTACATAAATAAACATAATATATTAGATTTAATTTTGTGTGGTAATACCATGTATTATAATATAATGTGTTTATGTTACATTGACAATGTACAATTTGTAACATTTTTTGAGAATGTTTTTGCTGTACAATTTGATGTTTGATTTTGTATTTCATATCATCAAATTTCTAGTTTTACACATTGGGCTCAATGTTTTTGTGTGCTAAGCTGTAGGGTGTTGAGGAAATAAAATCAACCCATCATGTATAAATTTGGATATAAGTATACATTGTTGGTTTGTATACTTTAACCTCCACTATCCTTGATTTTCTTTGGTATTCGTGGATGAACATTTCATTACATAAATACTCTGAATAAATTATTTTCTTTATTATGACAATTATCTCAATAAAATTAACACAGATGCTCACCAAAACAGTTAGAAATGGGTAGACAGTTTATTGCAGTGGGTCGTGGCAGTTATTTTTTTACTGCGTTGATGTGCACTCGTCTTACCGTTATGCTTACATTGTACTTCTTAAGTGTTGTGGAAGGTAAATGTCAATGATTGCCATTAACCTAGTGTTAGTTGCGCTATGACTTCATGTTTAAATAGAAAATAGAAAAATAATTTAATTTCACATCTAGACAGTTTATTTATATACTCAATATACTTTTTAACAAAAAAATGAAGTTAAATATCTTAAATTGCTGGCAATGATGAGCAATAAATGCCTTATCACTTTTATAAATAATTTACTAACTGAGGACTAATTTATTCATATTAAGCTAATTTTTAATTGGTTCGTTTTATTATTTTCATTCAATTTTTTTTAGCATTATTCATAACATGCTGTACACAAAGTAACTTTTTGAAAATTAATAATAGTTTTCTTTTTTTTATAAATAATATTAAAAAATGTAAAAATTGTATGAGATTGATTTGTGTTAATAAAATATGTATGAAACAACAGTTTTTATACTTTAATTATCTGAAAGGCTGAGGTGTGACTAATGATGTAGTATACACAGCGACTAATATCTGATTAAAATTTTATATTGAAATGTTATATTTGATTTAGAAATAATAATTAATACTTATTTGTCACCAAATTATATTCTCAGTTTTTAGACTTCATGATAATACCTAAAGTCTAAACAGTAGTGTATAGAAGTTGGTGACTCAATTGCCATAAACAGTCTCAACAGTCCCCCCAATCCAACACTTAGTTTTGTATATTACATTGATATTATAATATTCTAAAACGAATAAACCTTTTTATTATTCTTTTATATTCATAAATGTGTAATAATTAATGAGATAAGTGTTTTAATGTAAAACAATCATTGAATGATTTATTCATTTGCTTATATAGGTATCAATAGAATATCAATTTACTAAAGCTACGATGCTCGTGGTTGAACCACAGGATGAGACAATCTCCTCTTGAGTGTTGACTGTCGTCCGATGACTAATCTTCGGGTGGAATGGTGATCACGACCTAAAAGAGTTAAAATACCGAAAATTAGTATTTTATGACGTGTCAGTAATAATCATAATATCAATGGTTCACGAGCAGTAGTACATTTTAAGTTCGTACCACTTATAATATTACTATTTACTAATGTGTATTGTGTGGGGGTGAGGAATACCGTGTTCCAAAAATTGGAAGGTCGACGACGAGTGGCGCTGTCTGGCAGATATCACGATCGGCGCTAAACGCAGAAAAGTAGTCCATCGCTCGGCACTGTCACGTCCGCAGTCAGATTGCTTTATATATAAACAGAGACGAACAGTTAACATAGGCAGAGGTGAACGAGTTCGTTGGGTACCAAATTCGCCGTATGGTGAACACACACACGTCCTCATATGCGTAACATCGCGCAATGATCACAACTGTAAACCCAAACTTCTACATAAGCCTAATTTTAAATTCAAGCAAACAAACAAATATCGTACGGACGGGCTCAACCATACACCTCGCCCTTAATTTTGAAAATTTTTTTTATCTGTCCACCGCTAATTATTTGTTAAACTGACGCTTGACGATCTGGACGTTTTTATTAGTACCTATACTTACATTGCCATTATGTTCGCACATATGGAAAACGTGTACAATTACAAACACATTTTTTTTAGTATGATGATGCAAACAAGAACGACCGTTTTAGATATTTGCACGACAATGTCGAAATAGGTTGTTTCATTGTTTGTTAATATTATCATTGTACATTTGTACTTATTGTAGCACGTAGTCCTATACGGCAGTGGCGGATCCAGTGCTACATTTTGGGAAATGGCTTCAAAAAGAAAACGCACACTACTAAGCAAAAAACAAAACCAAATTTAATGTGAAAAAGTAAGTAGGTACTCAAAATTTGTTTTAACCTGTTTTTTTTTCTGGCAGAGTTTACAGTAAAAAAAAAGTACTAGTGGCGGAGTATACATGCGCCCCTCCCCCTCCTGACACCACGACCAAATTGGGATAATAGGTAGAATGCTGGGTACACCACACCCAACGATGTCAGAAATCCGTCTATGATCCATTAATTATAATCTGTACTATTTTTTTTAAAAAATTGAACCAGACTAAAAGAGTTAATTTATAGAAAAAATATTTGAAGGGGATTATGGGCGCCCACTGGAGACTGCATTGTAAGAATCAAAATAAAAAAAATTATGAAAAAATATTATAGAATAAAAATTTAAAAATAAAAATGTTAAGGAGATTATGGGCGCCCGCAGGCAAATGCATTTTAAGAATCAAATTAAAAAAAATTATGAAAAATGAACATTTAAAACAAATATTAAAGACTGCAGTCTATATAATATCAGTATGCCTAAACACATAGCTTTATTGTCAATGATTAGATAATGAAACTATGAATTTTTATAATGTACTAAATATTGTTAACAAATTTTAAAAAATGGTTTCAAAAAATTAAACTAGAGTTAAATAATTGAAAAAAAAATTGAAGGGGGGCATGATGGGCGCCCGCAGGCAAATGAATTGTAAGAATCAAAATAAAAAAAAATTATAAAGATATATGATAGATTATAAATTCAAAAATAAAAATGGGAAGGGGAACATGGGCGCCCGCGGGCAAATGAATTTTAAGAATCAAATTAAAAAAAAATTATGAAAAATGTACATTTAAAACAAAATATATTAAAGACTGTAAAGTCTACAATATCAGTATTCTTAAACTCATAGCTTTATTTTCAACAATTAGATAATGAAACTATGAATTTTTATAATGTACTAAGTATTGTTAACAAATTTTAAAAAATGGTTTCAAAAAATTGAACTAGAGTTAAATAATTGAAAAAAAAATTGAAAGGAATTATGGGCACACACAGGCAAATGCATTGTAAGAATCAAAATAAATTAAATTGTAAAAAAATATGATAGAATATAAATATAAAAATAAAAATGGGAAGGGGGGCATGGGCGCCC